TTTATAATTTTATCAAGTTTTTGCATAATTTTTTTTATTTGATTGCTTAAACTCATTTGCCTGCTGGCGCACATGCCTCCCTTCACATTTTTATTTTCATAATTTAACTCTAGTTCAATTATTTCAAAACCGTTTTTTAATTTTTGATGATCCGTTAGTGTCTTATAAATATTCATCATTTCAGTAGCTAATTATTGTTAATAAAACTATGAGTTTAGGAATAGTGATATTGTAGACTGCAGACTATAATATTTATTTTTAATACACATTTTTTGATATTTTTTTTTATTTGATTCTTAAAATTCATTTGCCCGCGGGCGCCCATGCCCCCCTTCCCATTTTTAGTTTCAAATTTAAAATTTTATCAAATTTTTTTAAAAAATATTTTTATTTGGTTCCTTATAAACTCTTTATAAGGTCTTATCATAAATTATATTTTTTGATTATTATCATTTCCGCACGTATAATAGAGTATAGATAATCGTTATTGGAAATTATAAATTATTATAAAAACATAAACACTATGTATATGTTACCGTCAATGATGTAAATTAAGGAATTAATGTTAATGACTAGTCAATAACGATATTTCCGATCAAATTAGGCAGTATACGATATTGACTAGGAAATATCGTTAATGTCTGTTATTATCAGTCAGTGATGTATTTAGAAATATTTCCTAGGTAATGATGATAACTCCGGGCTTTTTCAGGCGTGATGGGTAAAAATATAAAATCATTTATTTGTTGGTTTGATTAGAAATGTTCTTGTGTTGTAAAATTCTAGACGATTATCATGTAGGTACGGAGTATGGTATGCTAAAACATAGGTTCACTAGATCACAACTGGTTCCGTGTCCTGAAAATATATTAAACTATGAAAAGACAATCGCGACTGCCGGAGTAAAATAAATTACCGTTCGTGAGGCTGCTGGATACGGTATCGCGGGATCACAAGGCTATACTAGATGTATTTGTAAAGCAGGATGCAAAACTAATAGATTTGCTTGTAAAAAAACTAATGTTTTATGCAATTCAAAGTGTCACAGTACAACAAATTGCAAAAATAAATAATTATGTATAATTTATCTTGTATTTATAAATTTCTTACTTAAAATAAATATTTCGTTAAACATAATTATCAACATTGTCTATCAGTATTAGACATTAAGGTAAGTTCCTAGTCATAGTTCTAAATGTGTTTACAAGATATTTGAGTTTTACAACATTGCCTATATTGTCTGTTAATGCCTAGGCATTGACATTATCGACTACTAATGTTAGGAATTTATAATATTGGCTAGTCATTTACGTTATGAACTAATTTACATCATTGACGGTAACATATACATAATACATATCTTCTTCTTATTATATAAAATGCAAAATGAATGTTGACGTGGCTCGTTGGCAAATAATAAATAAAATTATATTACATCCACAGTATTAACCTGTGATTACATCCTAATTCTGTTATCTATTTGTGTTAAGACTGCTATAACCTCAAAATATTTTCATATTTAGGTATTCCTGTATATTAACTTAGATCATATACTCCCCTAGTACTTTCCAATACAGTAGAAAAGCTGGCAGCTGCTGCAGAATGAAAGCCCCGGTTAATAAATAAAAACTAAAATATTAATCCGCTAGATAGTGAAACGTGTGCATGACAATTCTCTGTCCGGTCATTAGGAGCACGGATTCCATTATTAAGTTGCCAGGCCTAATAATCTAAGACCGTGGTCCAGACTCCAGAGCACGATTTAAGATAGTATGGCTGCCTTAATGCCTTAGTTCATATACACTGGATAGTGGATAGAGGATAGAGCTATAGCGTATATGGTATATCACGCGAAGTCCGTGTTTGAAGCAGACTTGTTCATGCCCGAAGTACTTATTGCGCATGAGTGAGAAATGAAATTGATCGTGCGGGACGGGGAAGGAACAATAATGTGTTATAGTGATAAGGACGATTAGGTACTGAATGCTTATATCATATTCTTTGCTCATGTGCAGTAATGACTTCGGGCACGAACAGCTATGCTTCAATATTTTAAACCATAGCTCTATCCAGTGTATATGATCTAAGATTCTATCGCTACTTCTAACTTATTTCATGAAAATTAAAATATTATGGTGTATGTTTATTTATTTAATTAAGATGACTAGATGAGTGTATTTTTGATTTTTTTAGGTTTAACCCGGACCGGACTAATCAGCAATCATAGATTATAGTTAAGACATCATAAGTGCATTATTACAATGTTTTATAAAAATGTTTTAAAAAAATATAGCGAAAAAGTAGCGCGCTACACTCAAACAATAGCGTTAGAAGTAGCTCACTACATTTAAAAAAAAAGTACGAGCTACTTTTGGGGGGAGTAGCAGTAGCGTTAGCGTGTTACAAAAAAACAGTAGCGTCCCGACTACTGCTATATAGTAAATTCAATATAGGCACCTACTGTATCTTGGGTTTTCTCCAGCGAATGGCTAGATTAGTTAATGGCGTCATGGCGATTGGATATGAGTGCATGGCTATAATATGATAAGTATATTATAACGATTTTAGAAAATTGAGTAGGTACTCATTTGTGATTTTCGAAAATCAGTTAGTATCCAGAAAGGTTAAACGATAAACGATAAAAAATGGAAGTTATAGTGTAATGTATAGTGAAAAAAATTAAAAATAATGTATAATTAATGGCTATAAATTTCATTTCAATAAATTTTTTTAAATTATCTTTTTTAAAACCTGAAGAAGTTCAACAATGTTTTAGTGAGGTTCTCATGGATATAAAACCAAATAACCAACAATTACATGATGTTTGTACCTTTTGTGAAAAAAATTACATTTTAGAAATCTGTAAATTTCCACCGTCAATATGGGCCGAGTTTTCTAACAGTTTAATGCTTATGAATCGTTTCATTCCAAAGTTAATAGTATGTTCTACTCTTCATACGTCATACCCAAACATTTTCCAATTTTTAGAAGTTTTAAAAAATGTACAAACTGACGTTTGTATCAAAATGCGTAGTTCAAATCAAACTTAAATACGACTTAAAGCTGTGGAAAAAGAAGATTATATTAGAGAAATTATGCGACAGTATGAAGATAAAATTATAACCCGTTTGGAGTTAATAGAAAAGTTAGCTTACAAAAACTTACTAGTTTAATTTTTTTTTTAAATTGAATTCTATATCTTTGACCTGTCTATTTTCGGCATTGTATTAACAATTTTCGATTAATTTTTTGTAACTATTTTTTTTTTATTATTGTGATTTTTGAACATCAGGATTTAACTGTCGATCCTAACTTTATTTTTAACTGTTATTTATTGAATTAATACTATATTTTTGATCTCCTCTCCCCCATAAGCTCTAAAAAATAAAAATTTAGTAGTATATTAGTATATTTTATCATTAAATTTTAAAATTAAAAATTTATTTTTTTTTTTTTTTTAAACAATTTGAATGAGTCCATATATTAATATAATAAAAAAATGTTTGATATAAATATAAATAAATATAAAATGATGTATTGGTGTGAAGGGGCGCACGCAACTCGGCTCAGTCGCGAATAAACTACGCACGCAACTCAACCTAGATAATCGCACGCAATTCAGAAACACCGCTTAAAATACTTATAACTCGCGTTAAAAAAAATATATAATAAAAAGCCTATGAGGTTGCCTAGATAATAATCTTACCTTTAGATTTTATAAGAGCCAAGAGGTCAATTCACTTTAATTTTTAAATTAACGGAGCTACACGTTTTCTGTTTATTGTACAATTTTCTATGTTACGCACTTGTAAGACAGAGACAACACATGCGGGTATCACGTCCTTTTAATTAATAATACAACCATTGAACCATGCAATAACAACTTACTACTTATTATTAATTTGTTAATTATAATATCATGATTCATATGAATTTAACTATATGCTATAATATTGTTTTTAATTAAATCTTTGCATTTAATTTATTCACTCTATGGTTATGATTTCTTAGCATGAATTCAAAATTGCATCTTGAATGAATTGTAAGTAGTGTTTTTTTTGGCGATACTGCCTAATTTGTTGAACTACTGTATACTTCTATGGCTCGGTTCAGCTATTCATCAAATTTCGACCGACCCTTTTTTTGTTATAACATTTTGAATAACAAAACGTCAAAACAGTGATATTAAATACATCACAATATTGATATAAATTATGAAAAATTTTATTTAAAAAATTAATTTTTGAACTTGTGTCATGAAAGTTAATCACTAAACGTTTGTATGTATAAATAGGTAACTAAAATAAATTGATGATATATTTATGCAAATATATTAAACTGGTATGTTTTGATATTATGATGTAGTGAAATATTCAATACATTTTCATGTTTCTTAATTCTCATGTCTTACGTTGAATACTTAAATACTTTTATAATTTCTTGGTCAAAATGATTTTTCTTTAAATATTTGTAAAAAAAATGTCTAATAAATCGGTCAATTTGTTTTTAGGAATACCTGGAGACCAACATATTCTCACAATTATTATACCTACAAATGTCACTTGAACTGATCTTTTTGTGTATTATATAACATACAATTGTACACAGTATTTACAAGACGTACATGGATGATAACACTTTAATTTCTAATACAAGAGGAAAAAGAAGTTAAAAATATTACTACCAATTACTAATAGTTTAAAAGAGAACATAAAATACTATGTTTATTCTTGAATACTTTTTACAAATTATTATATTTTTAACAACATAATTAACTATGGTAAATATATATAATTTATTTATTTTTACTTATTAAGTATTCCAAAACTAACGATTTATAAAAATGTTTAAAATTTTAATAAATTTAAAAAGTAATATAATTTATAAGTTAATAAGTTCTAATAATAAGAGGAAAAAACTCAGTCATTCAATCTATGTTACATCTATCGTATATTGTACGAATTTTGTTTTCTAGTTTAAAACTAAGTGCAAAAAATAAGTAAAATAAAACTTATATATTTTTATTTGATTAATATTGTTCGTTAGGTGATGAACAAAAAAATTATTTAAAAAGTATAAATTATTAGTTTTTCCACTATATAAGGTTGATTTTGTTCGTTTATAAATAAAAACAGAATATACGCACAAGTATATGTACATACATTTGTATTGCGTGATTGATGAGTTGGAGATTCTATAATTTTGATTTTGATTTGTCATAACTCCTCAAAGTATGCTACACGAGCCTTGGTTGATCCGCACTTCACCTATTAATTATTTAAAATATTAATATATAGATATAATAAAGTCAATCTTTATGTTAAAAAACAATGGAGGAAATCCATGATAATTTTTTTGTGTTCAGTCAATGAATTAAAAAATGTTATTCATCTTAAAGACAATACTAAATCTTAAATAATTTGTAATTTAAAAATGTAGGTCACATAATGATAATGCAGAACTTCTAGCCTAATGTAATTTATTACAATGAGAATACCTAAATAAGTTATTTAATTATTATTTATCTTACTAAATGAGAATATTTTTCTTTTTTTTTGATAAATGTACAAACCATATTTAAGCTAAACTTGAATCATGAAAAAAAAAATTCTATTCTAATAAAGTTAATCTTTGTATACAAATAAACAAGAATATTCATGTTCAATTTTTTTCTGTTCAGTCAATTACCTAATTAAAAATAAAAGTTTAACTGACAGTAATAGTTTTTTTATTAATGTGTCATTTATTTGCTCTGAAACTTTCGAGTTTTAAATAATCAAATTTTAACATTATAATTGAGCAAGTGAATATCTTAATTACTCAGGATAAAATATTTAATAACTAACTATTCATCTACAATGTCCGGTTAGGTGTCGGTTAATACTAACCAACTGATAACATATTTTAAGACCAGCAGAATTCTGCCGGTTAAGTGTCCATTAACTCTCACCGGACATTGTAAGGGACAGCTCTAAATGTTGTACTTAACCGATTATTAACTATAATAATAAGTACTGTATCAGGTAAAATGAAAAAAAGCTCAGGATATTAAATTAAGATCATATACAAAAAAAATAATCTTAACTATGTTATAATTTAATACTTGAGAAATAGCAAATAATTTAATATTTTAATTGTAAATAGAGGAAGTATTTTTAATAACTCATATAGGACATACATTTGTACATTATATTTTTAAAATTTTAAATGTATCAATTAATAGGCTCAATGACAGTAATGGCTGACAGACTCATAGCTGGACAAATTTGAGTGTTGGTAATAGCTAGCATGCTTAGAGAATTTGTTAACTATTTAGTATGGATTATGGCACACATATTGTAACCAACCTATAAAGAGTTTTTTGTATTTAAACATTGAAATCTTTATTTAAACATAAATGTGGTGTTTAAAATGTTTTATTTGACAGAAACTTTCAAATTTATAATCCAAATACCCCAAAAAATAAAATCGCAGTCTAAATACAAAAAACTATTTCTTTAACTTTGAAGTTATATTAGTTCTCATTAAATTTACAAATGATTTATATTTATTTTAAACATTTGTTTTTTTTTATCTAGTAATATTTGTCAGCCCTAATGTGTTGGTATAGTTTATTAATTGATTTTCTAAAATTAGTAAATTCAAATTTAAAGAAGGTAACTAAAAATTATTGATAATGCACCTTTAAACTAGAAAATACTTAGTTTCATCTAAGTTCAAGTGATAAATTAACCATAATATAGCAAACAAAAATCCTTATAAACTGAAGCTAGAAGTACAAATTATATAATCTAGTGCAATGCAAAATATTAATTTTTACATACATTTTCATAAGACCCAGAAAAATTGAGAAGTGTTAAACCAAAGTAATTAAACTCGCTTTTAAAATTTTTTACTTTTTTTAATGTAGAGTATTTGTTTTCTCCGAGTCGCACTTGTTCATCATGTAACATATCCAATTCACATTGTTTTTCATCTACTTTGAGCACTTCAATTTCCGTTTTTAAATCTCTTAATTGATCCTGAAGGTGTTTGCTTTTTTCTAAATACTGAACTCTGTATACATATAAAATATTTATATACAATTATTTTCTGATTGCTGATTAGTACTATAGTCTACAGTTAATATAACCTTTCTTTTTCAATTTCTAATGATAGCTGTTCCATATCATTATCAGCAATATAGTCATATGCTGGTAAATGATGATCTACAAGTGCTGGTGGATTAGAATGTGTAAGAGAGAGTTGTGGTGAATTATTAGCATTTAATCTCAATGCATGAAGATCAGCAGGAAGGTCCAGTACAGAACTACTTGACACTGAATACAGACTTGAAACACTCTAAATTAAAAATTAGACCAAAAATACGAGTATAGAACTAACAAAGTAATAATAAATAGTTAAAGGTATTGAAAAATGAAAACAGACAAATTGAACGTACAGTATTAACATATGCATTTCTAGAAAGGAACTCCAGCAATTTTTCTTTTGCTTGTTTTTCAGCAACACGAGCTCTAAGCAATTCTTCTTTAAGTTTGTTTGCTTCAGCTGCCCGTCTTTCAGATTCATCTACAAGTCGAGCAGTCAGTTGTTCAGCTTCCCGTGTTTTTCGTTCAAGGCTTACTTTTTCTTCTTCAGTCTATAAATAAAATATAGTACAATTTATATAAGAAGTTAATCATTAATGTCTGATATTCTAATTATAAAAATAATTTATATCTATTCTACATTTCTAATCATACTTTAAGTGCAGTCAAACGAAATTGAGTAATTTTATGTTCAGCTTCAGATGCTTTTTGACCTAATAACATGGCTTCTTCTTCTGCAACTCGCGACTTTTCAGCCAGAAGATCAGCTGTTTCTTCAGATCGTCTCTAAAAAAAGTGTTTTGGAAACATTGGTGTTTTTTTTTATGGTTTTGAGGTAAAAATCTTAAGAATACTAACTAATGCTTCATTTGCTAAACGAATTTCTTCTTGGTATTGCATCAATCGTTGTTCCATAATTGATTTTTCTTTTTCTGCAATTTCTCTTAGTTGCTTTTCACGGGCCAACTTATTACGCTCAATTTGCCGTCTAATTAATAATATAATAATAAGTGTAAAATATTTTTTTGGTGGGTAAACAGTTCTAAATATCATTGATACTATTAAATAATTACCTAGACTTTTCTTCTTTTGCCTGGGTTTTCATTTGTTGTACTTCCATAGAATCTGGTTTACGTCTTCTCATAAAAAGATCATGATTTCCTATACACAGGTCTAAAATCTAAAAAATTATCGATGTGATAAGAAGAATTCTTTATTGATAGTTTTATTTAATACTCACCAATTTATTCATTCGAACTTTGTGCGAGAAGAATACAAAATTTGGTGACGTCTTATCAACAGGTTTAATAGTAAATTTTTTATCATCAAAACTAACATGTCTGATTTCAGACCATTGGAATGTTGTTTTCGGAGTTAATTTGTTCTCTTTTTCATAAATATTAAGTCCTAAAGATGTAACTCCTAACCACAAATCTGTATCTTTCTTGTTCTATATTGTTTAAAAACCAAAATGTTTTAATTAGTAAAAGTTAAAATTAATATAGCTTTAGAGATAATTTTAACTCACACTAATGGGAAAATAATTTACACCATACATATCTAAATCTTGAGCGATTTTCAAATATTCAATTTCAGCCTCATCTCTCGACATTCCTCGATGGTCAGCATACCAAACTTTAATTCGCTCTTCCCACATTTCTGCTGTCATTTGATATTGATCAATTACTCTTTGAGGTAACAATTCTTCACTGGCAAGCATTCCTGGCTTATAAGTTCCTTCATCATAGTCACCATACTACACAGATTCAAGTAAATAAATTTAATGATTAACCTTAAAATATAATTTTTAATTTCTTCTACTTTTGCTTGCACTGCATATGACGCTAATAAAACTGAGGCTTCTGGCGGGCAATAAATATCCATTGCTAAAATGGCACGATTAACTTGTAAAAAAAATAAGTGTTGAGTAACTTCTTGAACAAGTTCTTCAGCTACTTCTTCAGGATAAAATTTTGCAAGGAACATAAATGGCATTGTAGTTTGTTGAGGAATACCTTGATCTTGAACTATAATATAACTTACAATTATATTTTATTTTAAATCAAACACATTGAGGCATACCTTTTTTATCTAATTTCAACCATGCAATAAATCCTTTAGAATCTTCATACTGTAACCCAAAATACCAGGTTTCTCGTAATCCAATAGTACGGCACACCAAGTCAAAAAGATCTCGGCCAGTAGCCTTCAACTAAACAAATATTTATAGATAGGTAATTCAAATTGTGGTACGTACTAAGGTGCTACACATTTTTAATTTACCTCTAGGTTAAATTCTAATTCGGCATCTAATGTACACACTTTGACAGGAAAAGATTTTCCCGTCGATTTCTTGCGTTTGAATGGCGGCATTTTTTCTTTCATCCTAAACAAAGTTTAACCACACACACGATCAAATTGATTGGTGCACATTATTAACAAACAAATACATAAAAACACCAATATTAAAAACTACAACATTTTCCAAAAAATAAATAAATGTAAACACACTTAATAGTTATTAGGTAGTTATTTTATTGTTATTACTTATTAGTTATTAGTAAAAAAGATTAAATAATGGTGTTTTTGTTTGAGTTATCATTTTTAAACTTATCAAATAATTCTTTGAACATTGATACCGGTTATCAGACAATCTCCCACAATTATAATCACGATCACGGTCTTAGAAAATATCTTCTATGACCGTGGTCCCGACGGTGAATATATTTAATATTTTTATATGAAATATATTTTGCCATGGTACCGACTACGATTTAAGATATTCAGTCGAGATATGCTTATTGCTCTTGCTCATCGACCTATACCGATATAATTAAAGTTTGAAGACGAGATTGACTCACAGCCGTGGAAAAAGACGTTAGTGTTCTCTATATCACAATTTAAATCACGAACTATTGATCACACTTAGTAATTTGCATTTTATGTCATAGATTCTATTTCACCATTTCAGATATATATATAAATACTTAGGTACTTTAGGTGCTTATTACTTAGCCGCATACATAACTTTGTTGTTTTGTATAACGTATGGTATTATTTCTACTACACTTGAGATTTGAGACTTCATATCTTAAAACTATGAAAAAATATTTATTAAAATTGGAAAAATATAATAAAATGAAGTGCTGCATTCCTTATTGTAAAATACTATGCAAAAGCAGTACTTTTGGTATAAGCAAAGCATCATAAGATTTGTGGGAAAATACACTACTACACTATAGGTATGAAATTGAATGAAAATGTTCTCATTTGCCAAAAGCATTTCAAGGAAGAGGATATTATTAGGGCATGGGTAGCTGGTACTGAGTATATTTAGTAGAATATCTTTTGGAAGAATATGGTTTCTCGTATGTGTTAACTGCTAAGTTTTATTTTAAGACTAATAAATATATTGGTTGTATTATAGCTTGATGATTATAATAAAATAATAAAATATATATGAATTACATTTTAATACTAAATTACTGTTAAACTTGTACAGTTATAAAGCAGACTTCAATAAAATGTTTGGAAAATAATATAAAATTATTAAATTAAATTAGTAAAAAGAATTACAACATTTAAAACATGGATAGAAAATTGAAAATTCAGCAGGCAGCTGGCAGCGACACGGTAATTTATTTTTCTCTCACAGAGAGCGCTTGCTGTAATTTCCAGCACAATGAAGAACTCAATTTGGTAAGGGGAACTCCCCTTATCAGTTATCACGTCATGCCGATGGGCAACCTGTCCTGTCCTGTATACAAGGTAGATATATTAATATATATTTACTTATATATATCCACCTTGCCTATATAGTGTATACTGTATAATATCTTAAATCGTGGTCCCGACCTTATCTTCTCCTAAGACCGTGATAATAATACAATATGCCCATGGCTTAAATATAGAATGACATTATACTTACACAGTCAATTTTTATGCAATAATTGATGGCAATGACTTGATATTTGATGAAGATGAATTTGATTTTGAAATAAAAAATATAAATGAGAAGATCAATAATGATATTATATCAATGGCTGGCTTAGAATATATCACTGGATTTGTTGTTTCATTTCAGAGCTAAATATCCACACTTGATATCTAATGGTGATATGAATAGTTCCAGTTGGATAGCTTATGCTTCAAGAGGTAACAGTGCCCAGTGATAAATTGATGGATGTGGCAAAGGTAATGGAGAATTTTTTTACACAATTACATGGAGACTACTTTACTAAAGATATTTCAATAATTAGAAAAGTAGCTGATAGAGTAATAAATTATTATAAAGGAGATTTACCAGTACCAGAAAAGGTATTACTATACTTAATACGTACAAGAACTTTTATTTTAGTTCGTGCTATTAATGCTGAACATAAACGAATATATGATGACAAGAAGAAGAATAAGAAAAAATTGAGCAAAGTAATCAACATAATGCCTAAATAATTATAAATGTAGAAACAGATAAATACAGAAAATAGTTTAAAATTTGTCCTAAAAATTATTAATATGACTTATTCAGTTGAGTAGTTGAGTTGAAAAAAAAGTCAAAAGGTAAACAATGAATAATAAATCCTACTTAGTAATTTCCACGGCTCAAATATGTTTACTTAAGCCATGGTAATTTCCTACATTACAAAATATTACAATATTTGAATATCATGCATTTGCATTACAGCATTACGCATTTACGCCATTACCTAGTTAAATATTGTGCTTATGATAAAAATAATTGATAAAGACCATACCCTTACGCTGCCATTTTATTTTATTTGATAACAATATTGGCTAAATGCAATAACCTTGTATATTTAAGCCATGAATATGTCCATTGGCCATTGCGTTGAATCATAGACCTTAATTAATATGCCTTTGCGTTGAATACGTTTTTAAAATTTCGTAACAAAGAAAGATACACGTTGCCAACGTTAATGTACGCAGTGTCGTGTTCTATGGTTGTACCCCTGGTAATTGTAAAAGATTTACGACCATGGTTGCATTTCAATTTACAGGACAACTTGTTCAGTGATTAACTCACTGATAATAATTATTAATTTATGATAACAGATAAGTATCAGAATAACAAAAGTCCAAAACACAAAAATTTCAAAATAATCAGTGAATTATTTACACCAAATACTATAGATCTATAGTATTTGTTTACACTTAGATCAGAACTTACAGTCATCATTTTATAGAGAACAGACCAAATCATGACTAAAATAAATTAATCATGGACTAAATTATTAAATATGTCGAAAATTGAAGTGACTTACGCATTACTTAATTTTTCATTGACTAGTTTTAACTTTTAAATGAAAAAAAAAAATTTACTGTCAAACTTCGAATATTAATAAATAGACAGAGGAAATATATTGATGGTATTATAGACATGATCTGAATTACAATATTAGAGGTAGCCTTTAATATATTATTGTGTTTCAGTATTTGCGATGGAGGAACAGAATACAAATGTCAATTTAGATACAAACAATCGGGAACAAATTAATAGAGGTATCAATTAATCATTTTTTTTTATTCATTGTATAACATATTATTTAATTTAAGCAATTTTAAATCATTTATTGACCTTGCAAATTATCATTTCAAAGATCAAACTGTCGTGCTAGCTAATGTTGAGTTTCAAAGTGAAATTGATTCTGGGACACCTACACCTAAAATTGATCCTTTTCAAATCACCCAATCAAATTCTAACACTATGACTGATTCTACACTAACTATTACCCCAGGTAAAGTGTGCTATTTATTGGGTTTTTACTACTTTTGTCTTTCATTTAATATTAAGTGCTTATTGCAGAAAGTCAACGGCAAAGTGTAATAACAGTTTTACCATGGGGAGCACACAAAGAGCGTTCACCATTCCCAAATGTAGACACAGACATTAAGCCAGGGGAGTATGTGATGCGTACACTGTTTGCAGACTTTACGGTACAGGCTGAGCGAAAAATGGAGGAGGTAATGATTGAGCCAGAAAAACCATTGATGAAGATTTTGCAACGTGGTGAAGATGCACAATTTGATCAGTTATTGATTGCATTTGGTTCAGTCGCTGAACATTGTTTGCCTTCTATACTAAAAGCTCTTTTTGCTTGGTATGATCGACAAATTGGTATACTAGACATCAATGCTACAGATTCAAAGAAAATTGAACTTAAAGGCAAAAAGTATGATGAATGTTTACATTAAATTTATCGAACTTCATAACTTAATTATAGATCTATTACCTATATGCATTTTATGTATATTATGTATATATATTGTGTGATACATATTCATGTATATCCAACAAGTATGCTCACCCCCTGCTTTTCTTTATTAATGAAGTTTTTCAATATCTGATTTTTGAATCTTTAAATATACGCAAAGACCATATTTTCATATTCTTGAGATTTTTGTGCCACTTAAGGAGTGTCCTGTGGTGATACGAACCTTTTTTTTCATACTAGAACCCCACTTTTTTTCTTTAAATTATTTAGTGGATAATTTTTTAAAAATGTTGATGTATCAAAATCAAAATTCGAACTAGTGGTTTCCTAGTTATTGGACAATTTATTCTAAGGATAATGGTCCATACTAGGGATATGCTCATACAGTTCTACATATGGAATAAGAAAAATAACTAAATTAATCAAGAAGGATTTTACTTGCTATTTACCTAAATGTTTGACTAAATAAATATTAAATGTTGCATTATTTTATATTATGCGTATAGACTATAGATAGCAATGTATACTGTATAAGCATATCCTTTTTCCCCATTATAAACTATATTATCTTTAGCACAAAATGTGTAATAACTAGAAAACTACTCATTCAAATTTTGATTTCAATACATAAAAATTCTCAAAAAAATTAATTTACAGTAAAAAAGTGGGGTTCCCATTTGAAAAACAAAAGTTTGTATCGCCACTGGACACTCCTTAAGTGGTACAAAAAATCTCAAGAATATGAAAATATGGTCTTTGAGTTTATTTAAAGATTCCGAAAATCAGATTTGGAAAAACTTTATTATTAAAGAAAAAAGGGGGGTGAGCATACTTGTTGGATCACTCTGTATATTTTTTGCATATATTGAATAAATATGATAAAGTTAAAAAAACTACTTAATATATTTCATTTTAGTGATGTTACTGACACTAAGGAAGTAGAAGTTATGGGAGAGCGAAAAGATCTGGCTGTGGAGTTTATATTTTGCTTAGCATTAATAGAAGTATTGAAACAATTACCATTTCATCCAGGGCATGAAGATTTAGTCACTTATATTGAGAATTTATGCTTCAAACATTTTAAATATCGTGAAGGGTATGTAAACTGCATGATAATTTCTAATACATATAGAACTATCCAGGCTTATTGATAAAAATCTTATTAAAACACCGACAATTCAAATTCAATATTTTAGGTTCAAAGGAAATCTAGTGTGTGTATTGGTTTTTTGACAATTTTTTTAATTATTTTTAAAACAGGTGAAAATCCCTAAAATTTCATTCATTTTTAACAGTTGAAAATTGATTCTTTAATTGGTTCTTTATAGAAGACA